AACTTCCCATGCTGAATCTGTCCTCACACCACAGCCTCCCAAGTAGCTGGGTCTGCCAACTAATTTTTTGTGTTTTCTGTAGAGATGGGGTTTCGCCATGTTGTCCAGGCTGGTCTTGAACTGCTGAGCTCAAGTGGCCCTCTTGCCTTGGCCTTCTAAAGTGCTGGGATTACAGGCATGAACCATCGTGCCTGGCCTTTTAATTACCTTGTTAATATTAATTTTATTCCTTTTCTTTGATTTTTCAAGGACATCTATCATTTGTATGTTACATCATCTTTGCCTATCTTTATCTGTGACTATCTTAAATATTTTAAATCTTTTTTAATTTAATTTTTTCTTTTCCTTTTCTCTTGGGGCATTATATGTTGTTTTTAGCCTTTCTTTTTTGACTTCTAGTGTAGTCATCATTTCTGAAATGCATTTTCATTTTGTTTCTAACTCTTTTCTCACTTCTGAATTTTTCTAATTCCTAATGTTCTTTTCTGTCTCATGTCTTTTAGTTTATTTTGAAATAGTAGGCTATTATCTGAAGTGTCTTTGTTTGGGGGATTTTGTTTTTGGTCTGTGTTGTGGCATGCTTTTATGGTTTATAAGGATGTTCTGCCCTTATTTTGTATAACTTTGTATGGGATTTATTTTGTATAACTTTGTATGGGATTTGACGTCAGTATCTTTCTGTTTTTCATTTTCATGTGAAAAATAATTTCCTTGAACTTTCAGGAGGCAGGGTTTAAAATGGCTTTCTAAAGTGTTTAGAACCTAGCCTTCTGTTGTTTTCTTGTCAAAAATGGCAGCCTGCTTTCTGTCACTATCTGACTCTGTTCCTTTTACCTGCTTTTATCTGGCCCTTTTCTTTCCTTTGTCTCTATTATTCCCATCCCGTTCAATTTTGTTTCCACTCCCAGCAGTTTCTCTTTCTGGAAGACAGGGGCAGTCTCCAATGTTCACAGGGACTAGCCTACGTTAGCCTCTTCAAATTTTACTGTGGGCCCCTTGCACTGACTCTTTGGTCAGGCAAAACCCCTCCTAGTTTTAGCTACTATTCTCCAATTGGGCATCCTTACTTTCCTGTGAATTCCTTTTGGTTTTTTAGGGGTTTTCCAGTTCTCAGATACATCAACCTTGTTTCCCTCTGATTTTCCCCATGCTGATGCCACTCAGATCTTGTGGATGATGTTGGTTTATTCTTACCTGCTTGTATTTTGTTTTTCAATAGCCTACCTTGTCTCCAGGCTTTGGGCTTTATACTGTGTAAGTGCTTTGTTTATTTTTATGTGGGAATGCAGAGAAATTTTAATACCAGGCTGCTATAGCCGTCTTTCCAGAATGACCTATGGAAAATTTTTGGAAACTTTCATGTCTCATAATCAAAGACTTTGAGTAGAGGGAAAAGATTCTCTGTATTTAAGATCATTCACTTTCACATTTGACGGGTATCTGAAGGAGATTAACTTGATTACCCAAAGATAAATGAGTAGCTCAGCAAGGCCACCCGTGCCTTTTCTCACTATAGGATGTTATATATGACAAAAATTTTCAGTTTTTACTTAGACGAAAATGTTACTTAGAATATTTTCCCTCTGATTATAAAAGTAATAAAATTGTGATAGAAAAAACTAGAAAGCATTAGAATATTTCGGTGGTGGTCTCTGAACAGAAACTTTTTTAGTGCTTTTTTTGTTTTACAGTGTTTTTGTAAGAGAAAATAGTTGTTTTTATATTTAAAAACAACAAAATGGTGGTGACTATTTTCTAATTTACACCCATCCAAAGCCAGCCATCATTACCAATTCTTATTGATGAGAATTTGTTTAAAGAAAGAAAATTGTGAATGCATTTAATTGGAAGCTGGCATGTACAGCAGTCTTGGATTTTAAAAAGTGACCAGAAAGGTATTTATTAAAATTTAAGCCTACAAAGACAGCTTTTACAGAGGATGGTAAGAGGATAATGGAAAATTTTTTCTCTAAGTCAAGGATTGATTCAGCTCTTTTTTTACTTGTGGTCAAGCCATCCTCATGTAATAGCTTTTGATGACTGATTTTACCCTTGATGATAATGGCCACATCATAGAACCATTTATTGACTCTCTTATTTGCGTTCTTAAGTGAAATAGATTTAAAAATTACTCTCTGCTCCTCTCACTGGAGATTTCTTCCCAGTTCATATACTGGAACCTAGGAAAGAGAACGTGGAAAAAAAACTCAGACTTAGATCTTTAAAAACATGAAATTTACGCAAGAAAAATATAAGAACAATGAAATGACTGTGCCACATTTTCTGTGTTATATGTCTTGGTAAAAGATTCATGTTTGAGGCTTTACCAGATTGTGGAAGAGCAAATTCATGTGTAAATTTATGCTGTGTGGCTCTAGTAAGTTTTACCAGCTCTCTAAATATTATAGTGCCGTGATTAAACTAAAATGTAAAATGTAAACAGCGGTTATGTTCAACAGACATTACCAAGAGAGCTGCAACATCTGTTGAATCATTATTAAAGGTGACACTGGAACTGGTTGAATAAAAGAAGGTGTCTTATATATACTCATGACATCAACCTGTAGGTAGAGTTTTGAGAATAGTGATATGAAGGGAAGAGCCCAATATCAATGTGATGGGGAAGACGAAGTGCTTCTGTATTTTCTATTGCTGTATAATAAATTGCCATAAACTTACCGGCTGAATACAGCACACCCCTATCCTCCCAAATTGAATAGGGGCACAGCCATGCACCAACATTCCATAGCCCAGTGGCGACTGAGCCTGTGGGAAACTGGCTAAGATCATATATAGTGCTGATTTGATGCTTTCAGCATATTTGCTGTTTATTTAGTACCAACAATTATTTTAAGTTACTGCATTTTTAAGTACTTCAGAAGGAGATATGTCAAACAAGCTTATGAACCCCTTTAAAATCGGTGAGCAGTAATGTGGAACACTTTCTAAGCTCTTTATCTTTGGAAAGCAAGTCTCCTGAATTTTCTACCTCTTGGTATTCAGGAAGAGAACACACACAGTTTTCCTTAAGTGAAATGGAGAGTTTTCTCTTTTTCTCTTGTTTTCTGAGATAACTTTTATGAGATGTAGTCGGCATGTATTTTTGTTAGGATCGCCTCATTCCATTCCTTTCCTATTTGTTTATGCTTCTCTTTGGTAAACTACTCCAGCTGCTTTGCTCCTTAATGGCATTTCTATTTGTGTTGGTGCCTCTTTGTTTAGCTGGCCCACTCTCCCCTTAGCGAGGGAACCTGGGCAGGAACTTAGAGTGAGGGTGGAAATACCCCGAATAGTGTTAGTTGTGACAAATCCTGTGTGACCTTGAGAGGGTAACATTGCTTGTTAGCATATTTTAAAAGGGAGTGGTAGTAACCTCCTTCACAGGATGGTTGAGAGGGTTAACAAATTAATGATGGCATTGCATTTTCCCAGAACCTAGTTCATAATGCTCTTAGGTTTGACAGCTGACACTAATGCGATGATTAAAGATCAGTGGCCTCAGTGGAGTAAGATAAAACCCGGTGAAGAACATTAACAAAACCATAAAGCTGCTTAGCATCACCACATTGCACAGGGTTTTTCCAACAGGGGCTCAAGTTCTCAGGCCAGACTGTCTCAAGGCTGACTCAGGACTTTATCCCTGGATTGCGCCATAGCAGGGATGAGCCTAAAGGATTTTATTCTCAGTGGTTTAAATGACGATGTTGCTTATTTTTATTACACATTTTTGCATATTGGCGATTTCACCAATTTATGTGGCTAGACACAAGTATTTATGTGAATGTTTAATTTGCTTCATCATCATGATAGGAAAGCTAAGATCTCAAGAAGAAACTCCGGGTATATATTAAGTGCCAGATGAAATTTGGGAAAAACAAAATTTTATCATATCCAGTGTCAATCATTTTTTTCTTTTCCTTTCAAACTGAAAGTCTGTAGTTGTGAGACAAATCTAGACTCCTAATGAAAATGGCCTCCAGAAATTAATGGCAGGCAAGACGCTGCAACCACAGGCTTTCTGGCTTTGTGGCACTGTACCTTCAGTCAAAAACTGAATATGGGCTGGGAGGAGGAAGAACCCTGGATGCGATTACCTGTAATGATAGAAAAAAAAAAAGCAGTAGCATGTTATTTGAGACCAATTTTTATTTTGTCCAGCTGAAATTATGTGAGGTGTCTCTGTCCAATAGAGAGAAGAAAATAGTCTCTAACTTACAAGTTGTAGTAGAAGAAACTGCCTTTGGTCCCAGAGGCTGCTAAGTAAATTATCACTGAATAATTGACTTTGGAAGCTAAAGTTGGCTTGTTGG